ACAGGAAGAACAAAAATAGCAACAACGAATCGAAAACAACCCGGCCGGTTTGTGCCTGTTAGATATTAAACAAAATTATAAAAGAAAAATAATTACAACTTATTATTATAATTCAAAAATTAATTTAAAATATTGTGAGGAAAAATGTTAAAACTACGTTCACCATGGCGTTTTTTTTAAATCCTCATGATATTTAATATTTCTTCTCTTCTTTTTCTTACAGCCACCACGATTCTAACACCACCCCAGGAACCACAACTACGTAAATTGTGGCGTTTCTGTTCGCTGTGTGAAGTACTCGCTCCGATACGTTCCTGGCACTGTGATTCGTGTCGGACGTGTGTATTAAAACGTGATCATCATTGTATCTTCACGGGAAATTGTGTCGGTCATCGTAATCAACGTTATTTTATATTATTTATCGTTTATGTAATTATCGGTTGTTCATATTGTTGCCTTTATAATTCCGTATATTTTTGGTATCTACACAAAGATATTTATTTAAATTCAAGAACCCTATTAAGTCTTATTTGTCCTTTTGTTGGATTCTTTTTTGATATATCATGGAATAATTTATATTTACTCACATATGAATTGGGATTTATTTCCCTACTATATGCTTTGATTTTATTTCTATTCCATTGGCCAAATATTCTAAGAGGTGCGACAACACATGAAAGTCAGACGGCGAAATATGATTTGGGTCGTGATTTGAATTTGGAAATGGTATTTGGTAAACGTTGGCATTTGGTGTGGTTATCGCCGTTACTGGAAAGTCCTCTGCCGCATGATGGTGTCCATTGGGAGTCATTGTTGAAACAATCGAATAAAAATCGTTAGATAAATGGAAATGAAAATCAAAGCAATAAATAGGTTTCAATTTTAGTATTCTATTTTTTGTATGTACAATTGTAGTCTATTTAAATTTATTTTATTCATAGCAAAATATTGTAATAAAAAAATAATTTTCATTAAAAATATGTTTAAAAATTCCTTGTTTTATTTTACACATCACTTTATTTTCGTTTTCAAAAAATCTTCCGCAACAGCGGAAACAACAAATCGTTTCTTTCAATAACTATATTCTATTAGTATTATAATAATTAATTTAAAAGCAGTAAACGGAAAATTAAAAAAAATAATAATAATAATAACAATTTATTGCTTTAGAAAACTATCGCCCACCAAAGATTTCATCTTGGCTATGTGGACTTCATTTAGCGTAAAACCTTTATGGATGCGTTCGGCCAATGACAAGCCATCCATGTGATTTTCCACGGCATACTGTAAACATTGCAAAGCCTGGGAGGGTGATTTATTCAAAATGGCAGCTTCAACATATTCCATGAGACATGTATCCGAAGGTGTTCCCGGTATGCGATGTTGACTTTTATCAATGTTATTAAAGACCTCCACAGCCTTTTCCCAATTGCCACCACGTACCAAAATCGTAAGAATATCACCAATCATTTGTCCGGTGAAAGACAGTTTTTTAGCTCTACCTTCCGATTCCACAACTTTGTTGTAAATATCCAATGCAACCTTGGCAAATTGTTCGGGTAATTGTTGTTGTGATTTTTGGCTTACATCAGGTTTGTTGTTCAACATAATTTTCAAGGTACGCAACAGTAAACTTTCACGATTAATGTGATCGAAAATTACCATATCAGACCAGAGGCGTGGTATTAATTCATAGGCAGCATTAAGTTCAACCATTTTCAAGACTTCTTCCATAATACCCGGTTCAGGGATATAAACATTGGGTACCAATTTATCATAGGTTTCCAAGAACTCTTCAATTGTTGATGTCTGGCACAGAAGGGCAAAGTAATGCCTATAGTAAATTGATTCCTTATAAGTATCACCAATCAAATCGTAATTGTTACCAACATGCAACAGCTTATCCACTTTCTTGGCCAATGAACGATCATGTAAATGATTACGGCATACATCCATGGCTGTGGCAAAGAAATATGTATCTTTGGGATGTTGTATTTTGAATTCTTTGCCTTGTATCTCATTGAGGATATCGACAATGACATGGGAGACGGGACCACGTTCACGACAGAAAATAATGAGCACATAGTAATAGGAGCCCAAACTTAGTTCAACACCCAATTTCTTGAATTCGGAGAGTACTTGCAAAGCGCAAGTGCGTCCCATTTTATAGTTGCCAAAGGTGCTAATACATTCGAGTAGGGCATTCAGGGTTCCCAGATTTGGTTTCAATTGTTGTTGTTTCATCTGCTGTAGTAAATCTTTACATAATTCCCATTTTTGATCGGGCGTTTCTTTGAGGAAATTCACATTATTGATTATCGAATTGTACGTGGCTGTATCAAGGTAATGTTGTTTCTCCAATGCCTCCTGGAAGAGGGCGTAAGCCCTGTCAGCCTGTAAGGATGATAAAGAATTTATTAAATTGTAAAAAATTATTACTTATATAAAATTTGGAAAATAGGTCGATATTATGTCTTCTATAAAAATGGTATTATGATGTTTTATCTTGAGATTCCCATTAAATAAGACTTCAAAAAAGGAAATAAGTGAAATTTTGGTAATTAACTTTAAATTTGCTTCAATTGCAAAGCTATTAAATAAATAAAAATAAATTTAAGAAGAGTTTCGGACACTGTATTTTTAAATATGCAGCATTTTTAATATTTTTATCAACTGCTGAATTCTACATATTCCAACAATATTGGAAGCGAACCCGTATCACCTTACCTGATAATATTTAGCCATGCCGCGGATAATGGCAGCATATGCCTCTGTGGTTTTTGGTTCAATTTCATTGAACACTTGTTCAGCTAAATCACCATCTTTCCATGTTTTGGTTTGACGTTGTTGTCCTTGGGTATTTTCCTTAAACCAACGTTCTTCGTAATATTCCTCAGGCATTGGCTCCTCATGATTATAAAAACTCAACAATTCCAAAAGACTTTGTTTAGCCTCCGAGGTAATTTCAACACCCTTGGTTTTCATTAGATTATAAACAAAGACGGCATCTTGGATTTGTGATTGTTTAATTAATTGTTCCAAAGTTTGTTGGGTGACCTCCGAGTCTTCGGTGAATACCAATTTGGGGGCAAATGCCTCAATGGGTGGTTGGGCTTCTTGGTGCTGAGGAAACACAAATATCACATACATTAGGGCAACAATAATAACAAATATAACATTTCATGATACCATAAATAATTTACGATGTTCCTCCTTAATCCATTTGGCAGCCTTGCGTCCAGCCTCTTGGGCCATGGCAAAGGTACGTTTGCTAACATTCGAGGTGGGTATCAAATATGGATCATCATGAAACTTGTAATGCGGTGCTGTGGGATCTCTTCCCACGGTGGCAGATAGTGCCTCCAAAATAGCTGTGGGAGAACGTTGTATCCGTTTGGGTATGACAATTTGTTCTTCAGCTGCCGATGTTCCGACTGCCGGGGTAGTTTTAATTAAACGCACATTACAATTCTTGCTAATTGCCGGCAAACGTCTTGCTAAATGCATTGTGGCGGTTCTTTTGTAAAGTTTTTAATAAATCAATTTAAAAAGTTTTATTTTTTCTGAAAAACACTAACGATGATTACAAAATCTCCCACAAGCACCGCAGAAAAGGGAAGAGAAACAACAACACCAAAACATTTGATTGCTGTCAAACGCGAATTGTGAGGTTATGTTTTTTGTGAACAGCTGTTTATGTGAAATGTTGCCAGATGTTGTGGAATTGTGGTGTGGTGAATTCACATATATGTGAGTGAAGAATTAAAATGGTTTTGGAAAAAATATTGAGACATTTTACCGATATTCAAGAGACAGTTTAAAATAGATAACCGGAATTAAAAAATTGGGTTCAATTGCAACTATTTTTTTATTGTTGTTATAAATTCGCTATTTATATCCAATGATATTCGGATTATAAGACATCAGGAAATGAATGGATCTGTTAACAAACGAAGAAATAGAATTCACTGAATAATCATTCCGGGTCATAGTACATAATGTAGATATATATTCTGGCCAAAGAAGACCGATGTTGTTTTTGGTAATGATTGGATGAAATAGATCAACAACTTTAGTTTGGTCTGTTTTTCTAGGGGCTTTAAAGGCAACAACTATGACCCCAACATCGCCAAATTTTATACAGATTATAAATCCAAAATTAAGGAAATGAAATGTCCTATATGACCCAAACATTACACTACGTAATATTTTCATTTTTAAGGGCCGGTTAATATTTAAGAGATTAAATAGACCAAATACTTTATTTTGGTCTATTTTTCTTTTCGCTCTAGAGGCCATAATTGTGATCCGAATATAACGAAATTTTACACAGATTCTAAATCCAATATTAAGAGAATGGAATGTACGGTTTAGCCTAAACTTTACAATTTGTAATATTTTCACTAATCCTAGATCAAGTCCAAAGAAGTGATAGGTCGTAGAATAATAAGAAAATAGTCTAGCAAATAAAATATATAGCTCTAGTTTAACGATTTTTATATGATTCTATGTGCTGACATCGCTGCAAAGACAAAGCCCAGCTTGGACATATTTTAATGATCTGATAAGTATTCTAATGTTAACTTCTTAAGGCCGTCTATCAACGACATTTTTGTCACTCTTTTGAAGATTTTTTTAGTGTTGAATTTTCCCCTTTCTATCAAAAATTTTAAAATGCTTTAAGATCCCAGAATGATATGTCTGTCCCATTTCTTATTAAAATTTGTCATACATCAATATTTATATATTAATGTTACAAGTAAAACCATTAACTATGTAAAAGCATCACTTTCAGGTAGACAATATTAAATACAAATAAAAAAAGGTATTATCCAGTTCTCATTAAAAATATGGTACATAACAATATCTGTAAATATGTGTATTTGTATGTAAGTGAATCTCAACAAAATTATAAAACAGTTGGCGTATTAAAACCCACACAATTCATCATTCAGTTGTTGATCAAGCGTTGATTTGTTTACATCTTTCTACAGCGCGCCATGACATTGACTTTATATTACGATGAACGTAGTCCACCGGTACGAAGTGTCCTTATGTTAATTAAAATGTTAAATATTTCGGTAGAATTAAAATCAGTGGATTTATTTAAAAGGGAACAGTTGAGACCGGAATTTTTGGAGGTAATTGAAATCAATTTTTTGTAATTTCCAAATAATATTTTGTTTTGATTTTCAGCTAAATCCAGCCCACACAGTTCCTGTTTTGGTCGATGACGATCTCACATTAACCGATAGCCATGCTATTCTAATTCATTTATGTGAAAAGTACCAAACAGATGATCAGGATCTATGGCCAAGGGAATATAAGGATCGCATGAAAGTTTTGAATTTATTATTGTTTTCATGTTCGGTGGTTTTTCGCCGCGATAGTGATGTGATGGTAAGTAGGAAATTAGAAAAATGAAATGAATTGAAATAAAATTAAATCGTTAGACAGATTTAAATAAATACAAGAGATGTTCGGATGAAAATGGAACTAAGTGCTTTGATACTTACTGAAAGAAAACTGCAGTGGAATTCGCTTATAGTCCATTAAACAGTAAAAATGATCCATATTAAATATTTTATGATATAGTCCATTTGCTAATTTCACTATATTTATGTGTAATAAAAATTTCAAAATTTCAGTCGGACATTGTTCGCAAAACCTATCCCAAAATCGATTTGGAATATCATCAACGCAAAATCCATGAAGTCTATGATATGATGGAACGTTATTTGAGCCGAAATAAATATCTTGCCTTGGATAAAGTGAGTAAAACTTATTGCATATTAATGCATGAAGTGTCTGGAATAAATTATGTAAAAAATATTCTCCTTCACCTCAACCAAGAAGATTGCATATCAATTAAATTTTTGTTTTTTTCATTCGTCTTACAGTTGACAATTGCTGATCTGTCCGCCGTAACCACATTGAGTACTGTCGATCTCATATTTCCCATTGCAGCAACAACGACTGAGACTTCGACATCACCTAAGTGGCCTTTGCTGGCATTGTGGTTGCAACGTTTGAAACAATTACCAGAATATGATATCAATTCCCGGGGATTAAATATTTTTCATGAGGTTCTGAAAGTCTATGGACGATTGGAATGAGGGAAGAATTCTGTATAGAAATTATAATTATTTTAAGAAATAATAATTGCAATAAAAATATTTGTTAATGCAGATTAAATACTAAGATATGATGAACCATGATACAATTATAAAAGGTAGGGATGCTTTTGTCATAGAGGGGAGAAAATACACCTCTTCCTTATGGGCAATAATGTCAGAATAAATGAAAACAAATGCAACAAGTCGTTCTGTTTATTTGACATATTTGTAACATTTTACCATAAACGCGAAAAAAATGAATTGAATGTGAGGTTTTCTTTTCAAAATCGAGTTGGGGATATGATTTACATGTTGATTCATTCACAAACCATACATTTCTTCTTACAAATGTTCTAAAATTCATCTTCAAACTAATCGATTTTCGAATATATTTTGTTATATTTTTCATTTATATTTGAAATTTAAAACGATATTTAAATTGTAAGAAAGAACGATATTTTCGGGAAGATCTGCAGTTGAAGAATCGATGTTATATTTTGAAATATAAAAACCCCTCTACGGTTCTCAAATAAAGAAATCATACATTCTTCGAATAAAGGAGTTATGATAATTTCTGGTGGAAGTCTAATACCTACTTCCCAAAATAAGTTCTCAGATTTTCTATAAAAGTCGCAACAAATCAGATTTCCTGTCAGCCAAAGTCTATTATTTTCTGATAGTCAGATCAAATCACTTCAATATTTTTTTCATGAAAACTTTTATTTCCATTCCAATGGAACTTTTTCTTAATTCCAAACCTTCTGAAATGAACCGCAATTATGCATGCATATTAAAGCAGCGGATGTTAAAGAGAACAGAATTTTTACATTGCAAATGCGAAGTGGCGAGACACCGTTAACTACACAAAGGTTTCTTTTAGGAAATTCAGATCATTTGCTTACAAACCAACTCGAAGATACGTCATACGGTCTACAAATTTCTCTTCGTTTCAAAATGAAATTAAAGTTTCAAAATAAACTGAAATTTGATGATACGAGGCCGCCAAGTAAAGATGCAACAACAACAACGGTCGATGAGTTACAGCGGAAAGAAAACACCATATCGGAAATAACGGCCAGACACAGACATTTTATAAGGGAAACATTTCCCACCATGATCATATTTAATAAGAAAGATGAATCCGTTTATATTGTTGAACGTGTTCCCGAACAACTACAATATATCGCTGGCGATGATAGCGGCTGTAATCGTTGGTATAAAAGACGAAAGACAAGACAATGGGAACGCTGGAAACGTGAAGAGGATAGTAGAAATTCATCAAAACGTCGTCGACGTTCCACGACCTTGGAAAATGTACCGCCAACAAATTATCGTCGCCTTCTAATGTTGTCTATGTTTATTGTTGTATTTGTTTATCAATTTCAAAATCATGTTTTAAATAAACATTATTTTTGAAAAAATTAAATGATGAAATGTTTTCTTCTCGTTGATCGCATGAAATTTAATGGGATAAAGTTTGAACAGAATAGATGATCTTAATGTATATCATTTATGTCATCAATCAGGTTCGCCTGGACAAAATGATAATCCATTCATCCGCTAGGTTATACTCTGCCAAAACAATTGTCTTACATACCTATAAATATAGGAGCTGGACTGGGATCGTTCTAAAATTTTTTAGGTCTGGGTCTGCTGATTACGTCGATATATAATATGTGATGGAAGTTCATACTTCCCGCGTATTTCTGAAATGTAAAGAGATATACATTGAACAGATTGGGTGATCTGTTGGTATACCATTTGTGTCTAAGATCCGTCTGAACAAATGAATCATTCGCCTGTGCTAATACTTCCGAAACCATTGTGTTTAATATATCCAGATTTTTAGCAAATAATATAGGACTTCTTCTATATAAAACTCTTTTTAAAAACAAAAACCTTGAGCGAACTACGCATTTTTGAACATCGTCTTTTCGTCCATGAAATTCAGCTGAATTGAGGGAACTAGTTGAACTGTAGCTCATTGCTTATTATCAAGATCATAGTTCAATTAAGGTTCGCTTCTTAATTTTTGCTCTACGTGAAAAAATTTTGTATTAGAGGTATCTATCAGTGGGAACCTTGGAATTTATTCTTCTCCTAGAAAATACTTTGCAAGTCCTTTCCTCTTTATTTGAATTTTAAACAGATTTTGGTTTTGAATTGAATAAACCCATTAATCTGTGAATCATATCGTTCGAGCTACTAAATTTACTGCGCGACTAAGGAGGTATAACATACTGTGTGGATTGCAACATGTCAGAGCAGAATTGGGGTTCTTACTTCCAAATGGCATGTTAGTTAAACTGGAGTACTTCCGTCTATGCGAAGATGAAGAAGAGATCAACTCGTCGATCTATTTCTCAGGAAGGAAAATCGACAGTAAGTATTAAATAAGCATTCTAATCTCTTTCACCGAAATAGATGCCCTGCAACTGTCACGTCTGAGTAAAAACCCTAAAATGAACCTTCTGTTCATGTTTTCCATTTTCTTCTGCTTTTCCAGGATGAACACAATGTAACAAAGGTCTCGGGGTGAAGTGCCACCTGTTTCCTTTAACGTTATCTAAACTTACCCGATTCTTTTTATGGCTGATATAAAGAGGCCTTCTTCGTAGCCGTAATGAAACTCGAAGTGCATTGGCAATCGGGTTATATTTCCAAATTTTATATGTCAAGAAAAAAAAACTTAAAAAATAGTTGCTATAAATTTTCGATCGTACAAAACGTTTTGGTATCCTCGCTCAAAATCTATATAAGACGGAATAATAAATTATATTTCTCGGATACATCCGCTAAAAATGGCCTGTGCTCAACAACAAAATTTTCGATGCCACAAACCTATTATTTATTATGATGAACTAAATCCCCAAGGTCGTAGCTGTTGTATGCTCATTCGGGCTCTACAAATTGATGCGGAGTTGAGATCACCTCAGGAGCGCGAACAGTGTCCGAGTACCTACAGAGAAGTAAGTTCAGAATCATATTTTATTATGTCGACATTTTAATTATTTTTATATTTTTAGAAATATCCTACAGGAATGACACCCACCTTGCTTGAGGGCAAACTCAAATTGTGCGATGGCCATACGATAATGATGTATTTATGTGATAAATATGCTGCAGCGAGGTTACCACAATTGTATCCCTGTGATTATATGTTACGCATGGAAATACAAAATATGCTTTTCTATGAGGCGGGAATTTTATATCAACTATATAGTCAGATGATGGTAGATTAAATGGTAATTGGATATGAGGAATTTATAATTGGCATTTTTGTTTACAGACGGATATAATTTTGGAGAAATATGCCAATGTCAACATGAATACGTATAAACGAAAGGTATCGGAATGCTATACTACTCTCGATCGTTGTTTAGAGGGCCATTTGGTTCTGGTGGGGAATTGTGTAAGTAGAACAAATATTTATATATACAATTTGTAACCTAATCCTCTTCCCTTCCCAATTTAGCTAACAATTGCCGATTTCTCAGTAATCACCACCGTGAGTTCTTTGAATGTAGTGATACCCATTACCATGGAGGATTTTCCAAATCTGTATCAATGGTTTGAGAATTTTCAAAATATGCAGTGTTACGCCATCAATCAACAAGGAGTTGAGCAGCAGCGACATCTTTTGGAAACACTGGGGGAATTTGTATTTCCTGAGGAAAAAGAAAATCAGGGAAAAAATAATAATACATCAAAATGTTCGCAACCCACTGGAAACGATATACCATTTCCATCGCCCGACAAATGGCAAGATAATGCCAAGCTTCTTCAAAAATCGGAAATTTCTAAAGACAACAACGGATGCGGGACAAAATCATTTGACAGCACAAAATTACGAAATTCCCAAAGAAAATCGTCGGAACCTTTGGGGACTCAGAGTGGAAAACCAAAAACTCCGCGGTGCTCAAAATATCAAAATTCCGGCCATACATCTCCTCCTTCAAGCCAACTTCAAAATGATCCATCGGATATGACATCACTGTATGTCAAACCATTTGATAATTGCTTCCCGGATAGTGAGGCGGAAGAGAATTTTGGTTATTCAGATGATAGGAATTGTTACAATTCGAAAAGGAATTCAATATTAAGAAGTTCGTGCTATGATGATGAAATTAATGATGTTACCAGTAAGTTAGAACCTGAGGATAATTGTGGAAACCGGCTAATGAATTCTGGTAAATATTGGACAAAACATTGTTTAAAATATCCAAGGATCCCATAAGGCCTGAAAAATTATTCTTTGCCATGTCCACACCTTAGACAAGTATCTAAACAATATTTAAAAAAATATACGCATCTGATAAGCATCTACAAAACATTCTATAAAATTAAATTATACTCCAAAATTATCCACCATTGTATAACCCTTGTGAAAATATTCGTTAAAAATTCCCAAAATCCACACATTATGGGAACCTTAAAAATCAACATTATTCTTTTTGACTTCCTTGAGTTTCATATTTTATTCTAAAGAGGTCGTAATCGGACTTCTTCATTAAAATTCTTTTCAAGATCTTTTCCAAGCTAAAAATCATTTTATTCAATCTATATCTATTTTTTCTTTGTAGTTCGTGGAACCGATCGTCAATCCAAAATTCGAAATCAAGGTAAATGTGTAGAATTTTGTGATCCCAAGCCGCCATGTCCATGTTGTATGGCTTCAATACAACAGCCAGCATGTCCTGAAAATTGTAAACACGACATTGATGATCGTTGTCAATTGAGAGAATTCAAATCATGTCTCTGTTTAGAAATTGAGAAAAGTTGTCAGAAAATATGCCCGTGTGCTAAGGATAATGAAGAAATCACAGAAGTAAATGAGGAGGAAAATGATAATAGTTGTCAGGATGAAGAGCATGACGAACTCGAGGAGAAATGTACTTCCGAAGATAATATAGATGACGAAGACAATTTAGCTGCTAATGAAGAGAATTGTGGCAGTGAAGGTGATAACGAGGAAGAGGAGAATGTCGACAATGAATGCA